CTGGCCATTCCATCACGCCCTTGATCTTGACAGGGTCCATCCGCATCAAATTGTGTCCAATAATTACACCCAAATATTCGATTTCCGTGTGTTTGAACTCGCACTTTTTGGGTTTCAGGTATAGCTTGTGTTTTTGGAGCAATTCGAGTACTCGTTTTGTGATTCGCCGATGTTCGCTCAAGGTTTCTGTGGAGATCAATATATCGTCAAGATGAACTACCACGTGACCCTTGTTGATCAGTTCTCGGAGTATGTTGTTCATCATATTTTGAAAGGTTGCCAGGGAGTTTGTGAGGCCAAAGAACATGACCAAGGGCTCATACAGTCCGAGGTTTGTGCAGAACGCAGCCTTCCACTCGTCGCCCTCTTTGATCCATACATTGTTGTATCCCCACCGGATGTCAAGCTTCGTGAAGAACTTGGCGCCGCATAGATTATGGACCAGTTCGGAGATCAGCGGCAGCGGGTATCGATTTCGGATTGTCATCTCATTCAGCTTCCGGTAATCTTGGACGGGGTGTAACGAGCCATCCTTTCTTTTGACAAAGAAGAATGCTGATGCCATGGGTGATTTCGATGGCCTGATCCGTCCGCTGGTCAGGTTCTCTTGTAAGAACTTGTCGAGTTTGACCTGCTCATTTTGTGATAGCGAGTGTAAGGGCAACCTCGAGACCCGATCTCAAAGTTCTGGCAAGGGAGAATCCAAAGGTGAATAACAGTGGTAGCTAGGTACAAGACCGGCATACCTGGCAAGGGAGAATCCAAAGAGAAACCGTGTTGGGGATTCTCCTTGCCAGGCGCCACTATTTATATGATACAAGAACAATAGACTGCGCAGCGACAAACAAAGAACAATGGGAACAATAAGTACAATGGCCGTTGGAGAACAATAGGAAACCGAGACAATGGGAACAATGGGACACCTGACCATGTGCTCATCAGAGAGAAGCGCTTGGTGCGGCAGTCCGGGCCGCGGTACGTGACAGCTGACAGGTCACGCAAGCACGATCACATGCCAGATCCCAAGCTGATCAATCAGAAGAGGGGGTTCCCCTGACATCACCCCCCCCCTTGGATTGCGGTGCCTCGACGCAACGTGCGGATGGTGGCAGAGGGGTGTTGGAATGGGAGGGAGTCGAAGAGGGCGACAGCAATGATGTGCAGCTTGCTGGGGTATTTGCGGTAGAATGCCGCTAAAGCGTCCTCTGCAAAGATGTCAGAGTGCTTTACCCACTGGTCGTGCGACAAATCATAGCCCTTCCACCGCACAAAGTACCAAATGCTTTGATAGCGCATCTTGGCGTCCAGAACCTCTTCAACTTCCCACTCCTCGCCAGCTCCTTGGCCCATGACCGGCGGCGGCTCCTCGCGAACCGGGTGTGTTGGGAACAGGTCATCCTCAACGAGCTGCAGCTTGACGACAGGGAAGACCGGGTGGAGACCAGAGAGGCGGCGGGGGAGGTCGAGCTTGTAAGCGCCGTGCCCGACAACCTGGGTGACTTTGAAGGGACCCAGCCATCGGTGAGAGAGTTTGAGGGACGGGCGCGTTGTTGCTATGTCCGAAGCGTCAAGCCAGACTCGATCTCCGACCTTGATGTCTGGAGCCGAGACCCTCCGGCGGTCGTAGTACTGCTTGTACTCATCCTTTGCCTTCACCAGTGCCGACTTGGCTTCTGCCACTCCGGACGCGATGCGGTCGCGGAAGTCATTTGCCGACTCGTTCACAGCTGAGCGTAGTCCATTCGGTTCGAAGCCCATAAGAGGGAGTCGACCGGTATCTGTCATGAATGGGACCTGTTGCGTGGATGAGTGAACATGGTTGTTGTAGGCAAACTCTGCGGCTGGAAGCAGCTCGTCCCAGTTGTCCTGGTTGTAGCTGGTGAAGATCCGGAGGAACTGTTCGAGCTCCTGGTTCACACGCTCGGTCTGGCCGTCCGTCTGTGGATGCCAAGCGGTAGACATTGCCGATGAGACACCGACCAGTTTCCACAGCTCCTGCGTGAACTCCGCTATGAACTGAGAGCCGCGGTCAGAGACATACTTAGTAGGCAGCCCATGGTGGCACCAGACGTTCTTGTAGAAAAGTCTGGCGGCACCTTCACCGGAGAGCCGGGTGTGGCACTCTATAAAGTGGCTGCGCTTCCCAAGCATGTCAACAACGACCATGATAGCATCATACCCGTGAGCGTCTGGCAGATGCACAATGAAGTCAACCGACACCGCTTCCCAGCGCTCCGAAAGGACCTCCGTGGGATGGAGTTCCCTGATTGGGAGTTGGCGGAGCGCCTTGGTTCGACAGCACAGGTCGCCGGTGGCCACATACCGGCCGACATGTCGGGACAACTGGGGCCACCAGTAGTTCCGAGAGACCAGCTCCAACGTCTTGAAGCGGCCGGCATGCCCTGCGACGCGGGTGTCGTGGTGCTGCTCGAGGATGCGTCGGCGGAGGTTGTTGTTGCGTGGAACCACCAGTTTGCCACGGAAGTAGAGCAGGCCGCCTTCTTTTCGCCACTCCGCAGCCCGAGCAGAGCGAACTCCGCGTTCCTTGAGGAGCTCACGTGCTGCCAACACAATGGGCTCCTCCATGTCGGGGGTACCGGCGAGGGCCTCCCGGGTGTCGCGCAGGAGAGGGGCTTTGGGTCCAGAGACAGTGAGGCCCTCCAAGGCCCGGACATGGAACAGCTCCGGGCGCAGCAGTGTGACGTCTGCGTTGTCCGAAGCGACTCCGTGGTCGGGGCGGCGCGAGAGAGCATCCGGGCGGCCCATGAGGCGGCCAGGTTGGTGATGCAGGGTGAAGTCGAAGCGAGACAGATAGAGGGACCAGCGGGCTTGACGACGGTTGAGATTCTGGGCCTTCCGGAAGTACTCCAGATTTTTGTGGTCGGTCCAGATCTCAATGGGGTGCTCGGCGCCCTCGAGGAAGTGTCGCCACTCCTCCAAGGCGTGGACGATAGCGAGCATCTCCTTGTCGTGGATTTCGTAGTTGCGCTGGACCTCGTTAAGACTCTTCGAGAAGAAGGCAACCGGATGCCACTTGTCATCCACGGGGGACTGCTGCGAGATGACAGCACCGGTTGCAAAGTCCGAACGGTCTGCTTCGAGGCGGTAAGACCTGGAAGCATCCGGGAGCTGCAGGACTGGGGTAGAGGTAACAGCGTTCTTTAGCGCAAGAAACGCAGCTGCCTCGTTGGCGCCCCAAGTCCATGCCACGTCCTTCTTGGTGAGGTCAAAGAGAGGACGGGCAATGTGCGAAAAATCCCGGATGAACCTCCGGTAGAAGTTAGTGAAGCCGAGGAACTGCTGCACTTCCTTCTTGTTAGCCGGAGCTGGCCACTCCGCCACACCTGCGACCTTGACCGGGTCCATCTCCACATGGTTGTGGGAAATGATCACCCCGAGGTATTCAATCGACGGCATCTCAAACTCGCATTCCTCCGCGCAAAGGTAGAGCTTGTTCTCGCGGAGACGTCGGAGGACTTCGTTCACGATTTCCCGGTGACGGTGGATATCGGAATGTGCGATGAGAATGTCGTCGAGGTACACCATAACGTCGCCAGAGAGGATGAGATCCTGAAGAATGTCATTCATCATCGTCTGGAACGTTGCGGGGGAATTGGTCAGGCCGAAATACATCACCAACGGCTCAAAGAGCCCGCGGTTTGTCCGAAATGCTGCCTTCCACTCGTCGCCTTGACAAATGCGCACGTTGTTGAAGCCCCAGCGAACGTTGAGCTTGGTGAAGAACCAGGCTCCCTTGAGCTTGTTGATGAGATCATTGATCAGGGGGAGCGGGTAGCGGTTCTTCACTGTCATCGCATTCAGTGCTCGATAATCTTGGACAAACCGTAAGCTGCCGTCCTTCTTCTTCACAAAGAAGACGGGGGATGCCATGGGCGATTTTGATGGCCGAATCCTGCCAGTGGCCATGCCTTCCTCGATGAAGCTGTCGAGCTGCTTCTGTTCAAGAGGGGATATGGGGTAGACCTTACAGTTGGTCGGCTTCGCGTCGGGGACCAGTTCGATGGCGTGATCCCAGGGGCGTTGCTCTGGCAGGTTGTCGAAGGACTCTTTGCTGAAAACATCCTCGAACTCGCGGGCCCACTCGGGGATGGTATCCCGAGGAGGTGCGGAGTTCTTGGCAAACGCCTCGGCAAGTCGCTGAGAGACGGTGCTGGTGGCTCGGATGTTTTCAGAAGGGTTGAAGCGGGTGTAGAAGATACGGTCACCGGCTTCCAAGGAGTCGTCATCTTCTTCGACATCTTCAGGGTCATAATCGTCCGAGTCTGGTGAAAGCTCCGGCATCTCTTCGTCCTCGTGGTCCTCAACGTCGACAGCGCAGATGGATGGAACCGGACCTTGTCTGATGGTGCGAAGCACCCGGGCCGCGGTTCTGGCAGATCGACGTTCTTCGCGAAGTTCCTCCCGGCAGGTGGAGCAACCGGAAGGGCAACGGCTCATCTTTACCTCCTGGGTATCCCAGTTGATCTCCGGGTTGTGCTTCCGGAGCCAGGAGTACCCCAGAATGAGCTGTTGCTTGCCTAAACAGGTGACAGCAAGCTGCACGCGTTCACTGTGGCCCTGGTAACGGAGAACCACGTCAGCAACTTCGCGAATGGAGCCGGCCTCGTTCGGCGTGCCGTCCACGTTGTAAACGGGGATAGGCTGGGTGAGGCGACGAACGGGGAGGTGATTTTCGAGGACGTAGGCCGAGTCGATGAAGTCGGATGTGGCACCACAATCGACTAGGCCTTTGAGAGATAACTTCACTGCGTTGTCGGTGGACTCGATCTCGAGGGGGAGGTGGAGGGAATTGGCCCCGGAGGAGGCAGCAATGACATAGCAGGAAGGGAGCTTGCGTTCCCACTTCTCCTTGCGGACTCGTGGAATCAGAGGGGGAGGAGGGTGTACATCTATTGCTTCAACTGTTGCAGAGTGGACGGAATTGGATTCATCATACAAACAGGAGAAACGATTACGTGAAGCGAACGAGGGTGTACTACTCACTCGTCGCTGGGGAGAAAACCCTGCTCCACCTCAGCTGCGACATCAGTCGCATGATCTGCGACAGCAGCAGTGGTTGCGACCCGAGCAACCAACTCGGAAAGCAAATCACTCCCTAGCTGATTGATGACCTCGTCAAGGACATTGGCGTGACGTATGTCAGCTGGGGTGGGGCAGTCACGGGCAAGATGGCCCGGACTGCCGCAGCGGAAGCAGGTGCGTCGAATGTCACCACGGAGCTGGGTCTGATCTACCTCCATGGGGATTGGATGGGCGATTGGAGCGGGCGCCGGGCGGGTAGCAAAGGCCGGTGCTACAGCAGGGAGCACCGGGGCACGAGGACAGGGGGCAACAGCAGGCGCTCGGGGAGGAGGCGCTGCGTGGCCTCGAGAAGTTCTGGTGGCGAGTTCCGCATTGTACTGCCGGAACGCACGGACACGCCATTTGTCAGGGGAACCCCCGCTTCGGACCGCTCTGCCTTCGATCAGGCATGTGATTGCGCTCGCGTGACCTGTCAGCTGTCACGTGCCGCGGCCCGGACTGCCACGCCGAGCGCTTCTCCTTGATGGGCACATGGTCAGGTGCCCCATTGTTCCTATTGTCCCCGCTCCCATTGTTCTGTCATGGCCGTTGTACTTATTGTCCCCATTGTTCTTGTTTGTCGCTGCGCGCTCCATTGTTCTTGTATCATATAAATAGTGGCGCCTGGCAAGGAGAATCCCCAACACGGTTTCTCTTTGGATTCTCCCTTGCCAGAACTCTGAGATCGGGTCTCGAGGTTGCCCTTACAGCAGAAACCGTGTTCCTAGGGATAACCGGACAAGATTGCGAGGTTCGACGCTGACGCCAGTGGAGAAGAGTCGACGAGCGACCAAGACCACCACTCCCTCACCTCCTATCTTGCCCCCTCCTCCCCTCCACGAGCAGACCCGATGAGCATGGATGACAACAAACAGCAGCGGCTGTCTGCTCTGGAGACCAGCATACAGAACATCGAGGCCGTACTCACCCACCTCATCTCTCAACAACAACAACCCCCTGCCCCTGCCCCTGCTCCAGCTCCGGCAGCGGGTCCAGGTGTTCCTACTGGCGCCAGCCCTGCGCGCCCCCTTATCCGTCCGAATCCTCCCTTCTCCTTCGATGGGGATCGCACCCTGGGCAAGAGCTTCTTGCATTCAGTGAAGCAGTACTGGCGTCTGCTTCCTGAGGCGTTCTTCGTGAATGGGGCAGTCTCGGAAGAAAAGGTAGTCCGCTTCGCCCTGTCCTACATGTCCAAGGACTCCGCGGCCTCCTGGTCCGAGCGCATGTCCGAGCGCACCCCATTCCCGTTCCCTACTTGGGCTCTCTTCGTCACCGAGTTCAAGCTCCGATTCGTCGAGGAAAACAAGCAAGACCACGCCCTGGCGCGACTGGAGACCCATCTGTATTATATGGGCTCCCGTGACGTGTTCAAGTACACGGACGAATATGACGACCTCCTTGATCTCGCCAGCTATACCGACGATCTGGTCAAGGTGACCAAATATAGGACGGGCCTGGATCCGAAGATCAACCAGGCTATCACCACCTCTGGCAATCCTCCCAGGCTTACTGACTACGCCGAGTGGTGTGTCCGTGCGTTCCGGCAGTACAATGCGGAACAAGCTGCCAAGGCGTCTCAAGGCCACGTCCCTCCCCCCCGAGCGCCTCCTATCGTCCCTCGTCCTCGTGCCCCGGTGCTCCCTGCTGTAGCGCCGGCAATTGCTGCTCGCCCGGCGCTGGCTCCTGTTGCCCACCCCATCCCCATGGAGTTGGATCGGACCCGGCTCCGCGGTGACGTCCGCCGCACCTGCTTCCGCTGCGGCAGTCCGGGCCATCTTGCCCGTGACTGCCCCACCCCAGCTGACATACGTCACGCCAATGTCCTTGACGAGGTCATCAATCAGCTAGGGAGTGATTTGCTTTCCGAGTTGGTTGCTCGGGTCGCAACCACTGCTGCTGTCGCAGATCATGCGACTGATGTCGCAGCTGAGGTGGAGCAGGGTTTTCTCCCCAGCGACGAGTGAGTAGTACACCCTCGTTCGCTTCACGTAATCGTTTCTCCTGTTTGTATGATGAATCCAATTCCGTCCACTCTGCAACAGTTGAAGCAATAGATGTACACCCTCCTCCCCCTCTGATTCCACGAGTCCGCAAGGAGAAGTGGGAACGCAAGCTCCCTTCCTGCTATGTCATTGCTGCCTCCTCCGGGGCCAATTCCCTCCACCTCCCCCTCGAGATCGAGTCCACCGACAACGCAGTGAAGTTATCTCTCAAAGGCCTAGTCGATTGTGGTGCCACATCCGACTTCATCGACTCGGCCTACGTCCTCGAAAATCACCTCCCCGTTCGTCGCCTCACCCAGCCTATCCCCGTTTACAACGTGGACGGCACGCCGAACGAGGCCGGCTCCATTCGCGAAGTTGCTGACGTGGTTCTCCGTTACCAGGGCCACAGTGAACGCGTGCAGCTTGCTGTCACCTGTTTAGGCAAGCAACAGCTCATTCTGGGGTACTCCTGGCTCCGGAAGCACAACCCGGAGATCAACTGGGATACCCAGGAGGTAAAGATGAGCCGTTGCCCTTCCGGTTGCTCCACCTGCCGGGAGGAACTTCGCGAAGAACGTCGATCTGCCAGAACCGCGGCCCGGGTGCTTCGCACCATCAGACAAGGTCCGGTTCCATCCATCTGCGCTGTCGACGTTGAGGACCACGAGGACGAAGAGATGCCGGAGCTTTCACCAGACTCGGACGATTATGACCCTGAAGATGTCGAAGAAGATGACGACTCCTTGGAAGCCGGTGACCGTATCTTCTACACCCGCTTCAACCCTTCTGAAAACATCCGAGCCACCAGCACCGTCTCTCAGCGACTTGCCGAGGCGTTTGCCAAGAACTCCGCACCTCCTCGGGATACCATCCCCGAGTGGGCCCGCGAGTTCGAGGATGTTTTCAGCAAAGAGTCCTTCGACAACCTGCCAGAGCAACGCCCCTGGGATCACGCCATCGAACTGGTCCCCGACGCGAAGCCGACCAACTGTAAGGTCTACCCCATATCCCCTCTTGAACAGAAGCAGCTCGACAGCTTCATCGAGGAAGGCATGGCCACTGGCAGGATTCGGCCATCAAAATCGCCCATGGCATCCCCCGTCTTCTTTGTGAAGAAGAAGGACGGCAGCTTACGGTTTGTCCAAGATTATCGAGCACTGAATGCGATGACAGTGAAGAACCGCTACCCGCTCCCCCTGATCAATGATCTCATCAACAAGCTCAAGGGAGCCTGGTTCTTCACCAAGCTCAACGTTCGCTGGGGCTTCAACAACGTGCGCATTTGTCAAGGCGACGAGTGGAAGGCAGCATTTCGGACAAACCGCGGGCTCTTTGAGCCGTTGGTGATGTATTTCGGCCTGACCAATTCCCCCGCAACGTTCCAGACGATGATGAATGACATTCTTCAGGATCTCATCCTCTCTGGCGACGTTATGGTGTACCTCGACGACATTCTCATCGCACATTCCGATATCCACCGTCACCGGGAAATCGTGAACGAAGTCCTCCGACGTCTCCGCGAGAACAAGCTCTACCTTTGCGCGGAGGAATGCGAGTTTGAGATGCCGTCGATTGAATACCTCGGGGTGATCATTTCCCACAACCATGTGGAGATGGACCCGGTCAAGGTCGCAGGTGTGGCGGAGTGGCCAGCTCCGGCTAACAAGAAGGAAGTGCAGCAGTTCCTCGGCTTCACTAACTTCTACCGGAGGTTCATCCGGGATTTTTCGCACATTGCCCGTCCTCTCTTTGACCTCACCAAGAAGGACGTGGCATGGACTTGGGGCGCCAACGAGGCAGCTGCGTTTCTTGCGCTAAAGAACGCTGTTACCTCTACCCCAGTCCTGCAGCTCCCGGATGCTTCCAGGTCTTACCGCCTCGAAGCAGACCGTTCGGACTTTGCAACCGGTGCTGTCATCTCGCAGCAGTCCCCCGTGGATGACAAGTGGCATCCGGTTGCCTTCTTCTCGAAGAGTCTTAACGAGGTCCAGCGCAACTACGAAATCCACGACAAGGAGATGCTCGCTATCGTCCACGCCTTGGAGGAGTGGCGACACTTCCTCGAGGGCGCCAAGCACCCCATTGAGATCTGGACCGACCACAAAAATCTGGAGTACTTCCGGAAGGCCCAGAATCTCAACCGTCGTCAAGCCCGCTGGTCCCTCTATCTGTCTCGCTTCGACTTCACCCTGCATCACCAACCTGGCCGCCTCATGGGCCGCCCGGATGCTCTCTCGCGCCGCCCCGACCACGGAGTCGCTTCGGACAACGCAGACGTCACACTGCTGCGCCCGGAGCTGTTCCATGTCCGGGCCTTGGAGGGCCTCACTGTCTCTGGACCCAAAGCCCCTCTCCTGCGCGACACCCGGGAGGCCCTCGCCGGTACCCCCGACATGGAGGAGCCCATTGTGTTGGCAGCACGTGAGCTCCTCAAGGAACGCGGAGTTCGCTCTGCTCGGGCTGCGGAGTGGCGAAAAGAAGGCGGCCTGCTCTACTTCCGTGGCAAACTGGTGGTTCCACGCAACAACAACCTCCGCCGACGCATCCTCGAGCAGCACCACGACACCCGCGTCGCAGGGCATGCCGGCCGCTTCAAGACGTTGGAGCTGGTCTCTCGGAACTACTGGTGGCCCCAGTTGTCCCGACATGTCGGCCGGTATGTGGCCACCGGCGACCTGTGCTGTCGAACCAAGGCGCTCCGCCAACTCCCAATCAGGGAACTCCATCCCACGGAGGTCCTTTCGGAGCGCTGGGAAGCGGTGTCGGTTGACTTCATTGTGCATCTGCCAGACGCTCACGGGTATGATGCTATCATGGTCGTTGTTGACATGCTTGGGAAGCGCAGCCACTTTATAGAGTGCCACACCCGGCTCTCCGGTGAAGGTGCCGCCAGACTTTTCTACAAGAACGTCTGGTGCCACCATGGGCTGCCTACTAAGTATGTCTCTGACCGCGGCTCTCAGTTCATAGCGGAGTTCACGCAGGAGCTGTGGAAACTGGTCGGTGTCTCATCGGCAATGTCTACCGCTTGGCATCCACAGACGGACGGCCAGACCGAGCGTGTGAACCAGGAGCTCGAACAGTTCCTCCGGATCTTCACCAGCTACAACCAGGACAACTGGGACGAGCTGCTTCCAGCCGCAGAGTTTGCCTACAACAACCATGTTCACTCATCCACGCAACAGGTCCCATTCATGACAGATACCGGTCGACTCCCTCTTATGGGCTTCGAACCGAATGGACTACGCTCAGCTGTGAACGAGTCGGCAAATGACTTCCGCGACCGCATCGCGTCCGGAGTGGCAGAAGCCAAGTCGGCACTGGTGAAGGCAAAGGATGAGTACAAGCAGTACTACGACCGCCGGAGGGTCTCGGCTCCAGACATCAAGGTCGGAGATCGAGTCTGGCTTGACGCTTCGGACATAGCAACAACGCGCCCGTCCCTCAAACTCTCTCACCGATGGCTGGGTCCCTTCAAAGTCACCCAGGTTGTCGGGCACGGCGCTTACAAGCTCGACCTCCCCCGCCGCCTCTCTGGTCTCCACCCGGTCTTCCCTGTCGTCAAGCTGCAGCTCGTTGAGGATGACCTGTTCCCAACACACCCGGTTCGCGAGGAGCCGCCGCCGGTCATGGGCCAAGGAGCTGGCGAGGAGTGGGAAGTTGAAGAGGTTCTGGACGCCAAGATGCGCTATCAAAGCATTTGGTACTTTGTGCGGTGGAAGGACTATGATTTGTCGCACGACCAGTGGGTAAAGCACTCTGACATCTTTGCAGAGGACGCTTTAGCGGCATTCTACCGCAAATACCCCAGCAAGCTGCACATCATTGCTGTCGCCCTCTTCGACTCCCTTCCGTTCCAGCACCCCTCTGCCACCATCCGCACGTTGCGTCGAGGCACCGCAATCCAAGGGGGGGGGGTGATGTCAGGGGAACCCCCTCTTCGGACCGCTCTGCCTTCGATCAGGCATGTGATCGCGCTTGCGTGACCTGTCAGCTGTCACGTACCGCGGCCCGGACTGCCGCACCAAGCGCTTCTCCTTGATGGGCACATGGTCAGGTGCCCCATTGTTCCTATTGTCCCCGCTCCCATTGTTCTGTCATGGCCGTTGTACTTATTGTCCCCATTGTTCTTGTTTGTCGCTGCGCGCTCCATTGTTCTTGTATCATATAAATAGTGGCGCCTGGCAAGGAGAATCCCCAACACGGTTTCTCTTTGGATTCTCCCTTGCCAGAACTCTGAGATCGGGTCTCGAGGTTGCCCTTACACCATTCGGCGTAGTCAGTGAGGCTGGGGGGATTGCCAGAGGTGGTGATGGCCTGGTTGATCCTCGGGTCCAGGCCCGTCCTATATTTGGTAACCTTGACCAGGTTGTCGGTATAACCGGCGAGGTCAAGGAGGTCGTCGTATTCGTCCATGTACTTGAATACATTGCGGGAGCCCATATAATACTGATGGGTTTCCAGTTGCGCCAAGGCATGGTCTTGCTCGTTCTCCTCGACGAATCGGAGCTTGAACTCGGTGACGAAGAGAGCCCAAGTAGGGAACGGGAACGGGGTGCGCTCGGACATGCGCTCAGACCAGGAGGCCGCCGAGTCCTTGGACATGTAGGAGAGGGTGAAGCGGACTACCTTCTCCTCAGCGACTACCCCGTTCACGAAGAACGCCTCGGGGAGCAGTCGCCAGTACTGCTTCACCGAGTGCAAGAAGCTCTTGCCCAAGGTGCGATCCCCATCGAACAAGAAGGGGGGGTTGGGACGGATGAGGGGGCGCACAGTGTTCGACTGCGAGCCAGCAGAAACACCTGGACCCACTGCTGGAGCTGGTGCAAGGGCAGGGGCAGGGGGTTGTTGGTTGAGGAGGCGATTGAGTACGGCTTCGATGTTCTGGATGCTGGTCTCCAGAGCGGACAGTTGGTGCTGGGAGTTGTCGTCCTCTATGCTGGTCGGGTCCGCTCGTGGAGGGGAGGAGGGGGCAAGAAAAGAGGTGACGGATTGGCAGTCTTGGTCGCTCGTTGACTCGTCTCCGCTGTTACTATCGGCGTCAAACCTTGCAATCTTGACCAGTTATCCCTAGGAACACGGTTTCTGCTGTAAGGGCAACCTCGAGACCCGATCTCAGAGTTCTGGCAAGGGAGAATCCAAAGGTGAATAACAGTGGTAGCTAGGTACAAGACCGGCATACCTGGCAAGGGAGAATCCAAAGAGAAACCGTGTTGGGGATTCTCCTTGCCAGGCGCCACTATTTATATGATACAAGAACAATAGACTGCGCAGCGACAAACAAAGAACAATGGGAACAATAAGTACAATGGCCGTTGGAGAACAATAGGAAACCGAGACAATGGGAACAATGGGACACCTGACCATGTGCTCATCAGAGAGAAGCGCTTGGCGCGGCAGTCCGGGCCACGGTACGTGACAGCTGACAGGTCACGCGAGCGTGATCACATGCCAGATCCCAAGCTGATCGATCAGAAGAGGGGGTTCCCCTGACAGCGGGTAAACCTTGCAGTCCACTGCTTTGGAGCCTGGTTTGAGTTCGATTGTATGGTCCCATGTTCGTCGGTCCGGTAGTGAGTCAAATGATTCCTTGGCAAATACTTTGACGAATTCCCAGTATTGATCGGGAATCTTCCCCTCGGTCATCCTCTCCTTCTCTTTTTCCGCTTCTTCTAACCCTAACCCTAGAATACAACCAAGTAGCTACAGTATTTATACCCAAAATCCAGTCTGAGTCCTATCTACAACTAATGAGTCATAAGGCTATGTACCGCATGGAGCACTGGTCATGGGTTGTAGTAGAACCTTCCGGAGCATATGTCGCGCAGCCTTGAATCGATAGAGAAAACCCCTGGAACCCCTAGCCCGGACCGTCTGATGCCGTGATCCGTGATAAGATAAGTCATGCCAAGATAAGATAAGATCGTCGATGATAAGATGAAAAAGTGGCCGAACTATGACAGTCAATCAAACACGCACCTTTATCAGGCTCAGAAATCTGCACAACATCAAGATCTGGTGGATGAGGATTCTTGTTCCAAAGACTGAATACGAGTCGGCGCTAACTTACCCAAACACTCCAAGGGAACTAAAGACAGAACTCTGAGGTCGGGATTTGTAATGACCATCCCAGAAAGATGAAGTCAAATGGATGGACATGGAAGACACAGGTCAAGAGGAGGGTACAAGAGACGCCCAGCTTTCAGCTGTAGATTCAAGATCATAGAAAGAGGATGCCAATGAAGTCAGGATAGCAGACTCAGAGTCATGAGTCTGGAGCATATCTGCACCAAATTCTTGAGCATAGCAGCAAAGAAATACCCCAAATGTTCCAGAGTCGATCCACTCTTTGAGACAATCAACATCAAAAAATGGATGCTTTTGGTACATAGGTCCAAGGATCTACTCAGGCTTAATGTAACAGTAAAGCGGCAATAAAGGAGGACAGGGTGCACCTCTTTCTGCTACCGAGATCAATCTGATGCATTGTTGCAGATGCCGGATCCACTGCATCTGCTCCATCCAAGTTGTTATTGAGCAGAAAGGTCTGATAGCCAATTGAAGTCATCCACTGAGTTGCAGAGCAAAGATTGAGAAATGGGTCATGTGAGCAGTTGGACAGGGCCAGAGGAAAAGCCTTAGATGTGTTAATACAAGCAGCCAGGATCTCTCTGTGACTTACCCAGGCACTGTAATGCTTCAACTCTCTGATAGAGAGTGTTGCTGCTTCTTCAAACATGGAGCCTATGGATTGAGAATGTGATCAGAGATGTGACATATAACAGCCAGTGTACTAGGAATCAGGCACAAACTTAGATCTTGCAGTGGGCAAAGAAAGTGTGGACAGTTACCTCTCAACAACTCAGAATCAGGATTTATATGATATTGAAATTAGAGACAGATGTCAATTACAATATGACATGGGCGTGATTGATCTAATATTTACCAAACATCAAGGCCACAGATCTCAGTGTGATTTTGAACATCATGTCAGGGGACGCCGCGCTCCTTGGGCACGTGACCATGCACGTGACCCACTGCGCCCTCTCTGCCAACCCGTGCCTGCTCACCTGTCAATCACCCGGCTTCCTCCTCCTCCTCCAATCCTCATCTCCATCCATGCCAACATCTGCCCTCTTCCTCATTCTCCTGGCCATCTCCTTCGAATCCCCACAAGCAGTCTAGCCAAGCCCGATTCCTTGCACCAGGGAGTGCTACTGCTGTACGCACTCCTCCCCCTTCACTTCGGCCTTCTCCCCGCAGATGTGGTCTACTGCCATACAGGCTCATACCAGATGCCCTTGCACGCATCCGCACCACCCCTCTTCCCAGTCGTGCATCGGTCCTTGCCTCCAATGTCTCCACTGGCCGGCCCAGCACTGGCCTGGCTGCTGGGCTCCTCCAGTGTGGCCTTCCACTGTTGGTGTCTCAGGAGCTGGCCATCACTGGCCCCTCTGAGCCACTCACTATCTTATCTGGGTTTGTCATTTTCTACTTGTCATCTGCCATTGTTCCATGGCAGTGATATCCCATCATCATCAGTCACTTGTCACAGCTGACTATATAGTGTGACACCTGGGCACATGGATCCTTGAACCGTTCTCTAAGGATCCCCCTCTGTGCTCAGACTCATGTGATGTTGTTGTGTGCCATGTGCTCTCTTCCTTTGGGCTGGCAGGAGTTGCCCTTACAATGGAAATGAATCCAGGGACCGCATCTCACCCAATCACAGATGGGCAAATGGAGCGCATGAACCAGGAGATCAAACACTATCTCCGGATCTACGTCAATTACCATCAAACAGACTGGTCAGAGTGGCTGGGAATGGCGGAGTTTGCATATAACAACAAAATGAACATGTCAACCAAAATATCACCGTTCTATGCAATCACGGATATCACCCATGGAAGGGAGTGGGGCAGCAGATGGAATCAAGAAACAAGTTGGCGGAGGAGTTTGTAAAAAGAATCCAAGAAATACAAGACAAAGCAAAAGCAGCACTAGAAAAAGCAAATGAAAAATGAAAAAATACTACGATAAACAAAGAAAAGAAGTTCCGGAGTTGAAGGTTGGGATGAAGGTGTACATAGAAGCGGACAATATCGAGATGAATAGACCATCAAAGAAGATGAGCGACAAGAGACTGGGACCATACAAGATACTGGAGAAGGTTGGAGCAGCCGCATGGAAGCTGGACTTGCCGGACACGGACCGAAGACACCCGGTGTTCAATGAGTCACTATTGACACCCTATCACGAACTACCCCCCCATCGCCGAGAGAAGAGACCTGTAGCCAAGATGATCAGAGGAGCAGAAGAGTGGGAAGTCGAAGAAATCGTGAAGGAACAAAATGTTGGCCAAGGAAAGCAGTACCTGGTCAAATGGAAGGGATGGCCGCACAGCGAGAACACCTGGGAACCATCACGCCACCTTACCCATGCGAAGAAGGTCCTGAGAGATTGGCAGAGGAAACAATCAAACCCAGACACACACATTTGCCTCCTACCAATGCTCAAAGCTGGACACTGGGACTATCTCATTCACCGCTACAAACCCAGAGACGAGCGCCTTCCATATCCCCAACGACAACTCTTTGACCCTTACAAGAACGTCTTCATGCCCATTGGCCTAGTTGATGAGGACACCAACCCTAGAGAGGGGGTAATGTCATAGTTTGGCCACTTTTTCATCTTATCACCGGCAATCTTATCTTATCTCGGCACAGATTATCTTATCATGGATCATGGTGATAGGCTGGCTACCAGACGCGCTCTGCACCAGCTCTGTATGGGCGTATTTTTGCACTTTTTACAGAGTTTACTCTCGAACCACTTGGTGTATTGTGTTACGGTTGACAGTGTTGCGCTCAGTAGGACTTAAGGGTCTACTGCCCAGTCAACGACTGGGGATAGTGTCGACAATAGCAAGGCAGTCAGACCACTACTGTGGAATTGGTCTTATGAGTCTATACCAGGCTCAGGGCTATTAGTGATGAACGCTTGGACCGCGACAATTCCCCAAAAGGGATCTTTGTTGCGGCGACTTCACAAAAGGGTCATTCTCTGCAGATGGGAACTTGGGCTGAAGGGCTGAGCAATGCGCGACGTTCTCAATATTACAACTACTGGATAGGACTTGGCGTTACGAGATTGAACCAATCTTGTCGCGGCAACTCCCGGTTTTGGGTTAAGACGTTTCCTCAGATCATGCCACGGCGACGACTTGTCACATGTCAGGATCCACTCGATCACGGGACATTGTGGACGCGTCGCGGTGACACTTCCAAAGTGTCACAGCGAGTCGCATCCATGCCCAAACACACTAAAATCAACACGGGCTAGATCCGTGAACCAAACCATGTGAGGAACAACTGGCGTGCCTAGGACCATACGGCTTCTTGGGGCACCCACGTTGGACTCACCTGCCAAGACATACCAGTTGGCCAATCCAGCACGTCGTATTCCAAAAGTATGACGCAGTGGGTTGACCCACATCAAAAGTACCATATGGACTACGGGGCGGGGTCCTGATCACTCAGGACCTGTCCGATCGTTCAACTTTTCATTACTCTAAAAGGCAACCAATCTTAGATAGCGTAGCTACTATGCAGTTGTACAGGACTTTACTAAGCATCGTCGTAGACAGTATAAGTAGCACATCGTTTCTTTGTATTAGAAAGCTTTCCCCTGGACTGTGAATCACTCTCATATCAGATTGTTTTGTACAATTTGCGTGCCGCGTGATTCCACCCTAAGAAGTTCTGCTACCCCTGCCTGGTCGCAACGAGTTGCTCCCTGAGCACTGGTAGCTACTGTGATTTGAGTTTGAGTTTTGAGATATCAGACAGTCGGATTCGCCGCATCTGGTTTAGTCGCGGCATTTAGTGTCGTCGCCTTTGGGCTTTGTTGAGATCGTTTCCACACCTCTAGCTTGGCAGTGCGTTGACTAGTTGTGCTCAGGTTGTTTTGGTCAGTTGGCAGTGCGTCGACAAGTTGTGCTCGGGTTTTGGACATTGGATATTGGCTGTTAGTTGGCAGTGCGTCGACACGGCATTTTGGTCTACTAGTTGGCAGTGCGTCGACTCAGTATATTGGTTGTATCGGTTGGCAGTGCGTCGACTTGATATTTGGGCCTTGCATCGCCATCTGGATGCTGTTGCTACAAGAGATCTTAATACTC